AGGATTTACTGCACTATTCATCGAAAATCGTCTTTCTGTCACCGGCAGAATACAAATTGTTAGATGCATACCATACTACTCAGAAGATGAACTAGATGCCGGACAAAGATAATTTTTTAAAAATAAATCTCTGAATTATCCCTTTAACAAAGCTAATTTTCCTTATGCTATAAGAGAACAATATAACCAAACAATATAAAAATAGAAAGGCTAAAAATCTCCAAATCACAGCTGCCTGAATCATTTTTTGTTTTGTTTTAGTTACTAAATTCCACCATATTTCCCTTGCTCCCAACCAGAGTGAATTCATGTAAAGTTAATGAAGATTAAGCTTCAAGAACCATACTTGCCCCAGCCCTAAGAGTACTGGAAGTTGCTGGGAGCTATAAATTATCATAAGTAGGGAAGGGAAGCCAGCAACTCTCTAGCAATTAAGGAGTATTTCCATATAAGTACTTCTGAGAAAAACTTTAAAAAGTCTCAAAAGAAAGGATCTAAATCTCCAATCCTCCATTAATTCGTCATGATTTACTTTCTTAATCTAAATAAATGTCCACTTTGGGGCCCAATTTTAAATAGGTTCCTCTTGCCCAAATTGTATAAGCTCTAGACCTCACAGAAACCAGATCTGCCTCCACTGACAGTGAATGGAAGACAACCCACAGAGCATTATTGACCAATTGTGTGTGAAAAGCACTAATTCTAGTGAAAAACCTTCCCTGTACCCATCTTCCACTTGTTTCCCCGTGTTGTCTCCCACCCACTCACACATCCCACACTCGTGCTCATCAATTCTCTGTCACAATCACCCAACGTCCTTCTAGTTTTTCCACCCACCATCTCTTAAAGCTTTGCTAATGCCGTTTCCTATCAACCCTTTCTTTCCTGCTCTCCCAGGGAAACGCTAACATTTCTGACAGCATCTCCATGGGGACAAAGAGGAGGAGTTACAAGAAAGAACAGGACTGGAAAAGCAGAAGTCATTGAGCCATAGCTATAGCAGATGTTCTCAAAGTGGCTGGGGGTGGTGGCATTGACAGGGGATCTAAGGTAAGTGAAGGTTTAGACTAGTAAGCATTAACTCCAAAAACCTGAAGGATTTCATAAATTATGGTGCACATCAAGTGTGACTACTAAAGCTAGAAACGATAAGATTCCATCAACCTAAAAGGTCCCCATGATGGGAAAGAGAGTGTACCAGAATACAAAAAAAAAAAAAAAAAAAAAAAAAAAAAAAATGCACACTGTGGTTATGACTACATAGGGCAAATGAGTGCTTATGGAAATGATATGCAAAAGCGAGAATGGTTATATAACAAATAATGGGATTATAAGTGACATAACTTTTTCTTAAAATTCCTCTAATGTTATTATGTTTTCAATTTTTTTATAGGGAATTTTCCCATACCAGGGATAGACATTTAGGTTGTTCTCAGGCCTTTGGCTTATATATCCATTTAAACTCAGTTCTATTTCATGCCATGTAATTGCACAAATGGGACTGAGGCAATGTGGAATACAGAAAGAGTGTGTCCTTTTGAGAGGTGACCTGCTGGTATTCAGACCTAACCAAAAGCTCCTATTTCTAAGTTATCGATGATATGACGAGGATAAGAACTTCAGTGAAGAGTTGAAGACAACCATATACAATATGAAAACCCCCCCCAGGGAATTTTGAATCACACCTGGCCTTCAGCCCATATTTGAAAACCACTGCTCTAGAAGATGATGATAATTCAATCAATTATTTTGGTTCTCAAAGCTAGTGATGGATATGTATACACACACACACACACGTGCATATGTGTATAAACATAGATGTATAATATACATATACATACATATTCAGCAGAGTGATATAGATCATCAAACACAGAAAATTGGAAAGATGATCATCTCAGTTTATTTTATTGATCAGGCACTCTTTTAAGATCAAAATGGATAGAAAGGGGGAAAAGTAAGTTTTACTAGAGCCACAATGCCTTTGAATTATAAATAGAAAACATATTCATTTGTTGATATGTCATCTAATACTCTGTATAGGACATGCCATGAGGTGGGATAAAGTTGTTCATAACCAGAAAAGACATGTTCTTGGCCACAGTAAGTCAGAGGTAACTGAGTTAGAGATGGTGCTCCAAGGAAGGGCAGCTCATCCACACGCCATGGGAAGCTAGAGTTCGGCCAGACAACAGATATGAATTGATTCGGGAATTAATAAAAGATGGCATGCAGTGGCCTTTGCTCAGTATCTCTTCAGCTGGAATTAGCAAGTTCGCCCCACTGAGGAGGAAGTGCAGAAAAAGACCTCTAAGATTTGCAAATCTGAATATTTGGGATACAGTTTGCTAATCCATTTTTTGTCACTACTATCTGGCTCTTTCCATCTTAAGAACCGGCTTAGAAAACTGCAAATCTTGGTTTCTTTTCCATCAGTCCAAACATGCACTCCCAACAATTTCAAGTTACTACAAGCCATCATTGAATACAAACTTTGGAAGAGATGCGCAGTAGCACACCATTATATAGTGTTTCTGTGAAACAAACATGATAGGCATAAATAACTTTAAGGAGAATAGGTAACAGTAAAACATAATAAAATAATTAGGAAGTGAAGATTATTACCTTTGTTTTTAACATGACTACTTTATTTCAAGTTTATATAATTTTTAACAATGGCTATATTTAACAACGGACTCATGAAATTCCTGAAAATTTAACAATCAGCAATCTCAAACCAGTAGGAGCAAGTTTCAGCTTATCAAACCCACTTAATCATAACTTCTGGGGATGCCTAGGTGGCTTAGTCTCTTGAGTGTTACGCTCACGTCATGACCTCAGGGTTTCGAGATCAAGTCCTATGTTGGCTCTGGCCTTAGCAGGGAATTTGCTTGAGATTCTCGCTCTCCCTCTCCTTACGCCCTCCCTCTATCCCCCACCCCTTGCATGTTTTCTCTGTCTCTCTAAAATAAAAATAAATAAACCTTTAAAAAAAGAAGGAGAAAAAAAATAGACCTCTGGAGGTGGGGGTATTGATGTTTTATAAAAGGTCTCCAGATGATTCTAATATGGCAGCCAGGATTGAAAGACCAGTGGTCTATGCTAAAACCTGATGGGGCTGATGTCCAGGTTTCTTGGAATACAGGAAAAAGAATTTATTGCCTAAGAGCAATTGGATATTCCAAAGGGGAAAACTGGGAATAAGGGAGGGAAACTAAGCATTCCATGGGAAAAGAATGATAAAGACAGAGGATATCTTGGAGTAGGGAGAGGGAACTCAGATAAAACCAGGTTAAGTAACCATCGTGTTTTGCCTGGGACTGAGAGGTTTCCTGGATATAAGGTTTTCAGTGCTACAACCAGAAAAGTCATGGGCACATGAATGGAGGCACTGGATTTTTCATTTTAATTAATTTTCATTAATTTAAATTTAAATAGCTATGTGAGACTAGGGGCTACTATACTGGACAGCACAAGAAGATGGCTTCTTTGCATATATACATTTCCCTTCTGTTTGCTAGTATGGAAAAAATTATGAAGCATATTAAAGAAATATGTGAGAGTAGTAACTCAGATCCTGAAGTTAAATATTTGCTATCAAGTGCATGTACAAATATGAACACATGATAAAAATTATTCAGAAATATGCAACAAACTTGTGAGAAAAAAAAAAAAACAACTTTTGTTTTTTCCAGGCATATGATGGTTGCTGATACAAATGAGTGGAGATAAATGGTATTAAGGCAACCATGCTCCCTCACCTAGCTCCTCTCTTAATCAATAACAAGTACTTTGCAAAAGGTTGGACTAGATCTGTAACCAAGACAGAAATCTGGAAAAGAAAAATATTACTGGATGATGGGAAACCTTGACCTTGATGTCTTGAACATCACTTCCTAAACCTTTAGCTGACTAGTAGACTACAGAAAATAAATTATAATGTTTTTTGTGGAATTACATTTCCCCAAAGATCAATTTTTGCATGGTAGTATTCTCATTCCAAATGCAAACACGAGAATGTCATTGTAAAGAATTACAGATAGAAAATATGATGTTCATAATTATAATATAAAGTTTATATTTATAGAATAAAACTTAATATTAAGAAAGGAATTATAGAGATAAAGACTGATTAAAATATAATTACTTTGTTATCACATTCAAATATAGATATAATTTAAAAAATGGTGAGTTGTAATAGTTTGTTCCTTTGATGGAAAAATGGCCATCCACTGAGTAATTCAATTTTTTTCTCTTGAAATGTGGGCTACGAAATTATTAGAACAACATTAACTTGACAGACTTAACATGGATATTTGATTGTGATAAACGAACTATTCAAATTCCTTAACTTTCAGTTCTTAAGACACTTTAGCCAAGTATGAGTCACTTTTTTCTCTTCCAGAGGTGCAATAGCAAAAAGTAGCATAGAACATTTAGCCATCTTGTCCCGACAAATAACCAATTCACCTTTTCCCCCAGTATATTCTTAAGTATTGATTTTACCAAGTGAACTCAGACATGTGTCACACTTATCCAATACAGATCCTTTTCCTTGGAAATGTAGTTTGTACATCAATCAGTCACCTGGCCTTTCACCTCTAATTCCTATTGCCACTGTCTGTCAATTATTAAAGCCTTTCCCATTTCTCTAAATAAGGTCTTTTTTGAAACTGAAATACATAGTGACTCCTCTCAAAAATATATGTTTCTTGGAAAAGTATGCAATGTTCACATGATTAGATGTCTTCATTAAAATTACTTTTCTGAGTTGAAAACATTTAAAGTTTATAAATCCACTTTTCAAATGCCTCTAGGTATTTTCTTTTAAAGCATACTCCCTGAATGGTAATATTAGCACTTGTAAGCCAAACTCTGGTTTGAGAAAGACAACATTAAAAGAAATTCAAGCTGAGTGGCATTGTTAGAAGGTTCTTCAAATGGAGCAGAGTGTTTTCATCTCTGGCTGAACCCAGTGAGAGTTACAGAATGACACCCACCTTGAGCTGCAGGCCTCCTGGGATAAGAGTGTTTGCTGGAAGGCTTTTAATGTGTTGGTAGACATAAGAGGAGAATTGCTCCTGCTCAGCCTGTAATTGGGGGCCAAGTTTAGAGAGATGACCTCTGTTGCTTTTGATAGCTGTCTGCAATTCATCAATCAGCCTGCTCACCTGAAGGGGTTAAATTACAAGAGTTGTTAGCAAGAAGTAATTGTTGATGTCACACCTATTAGATTTTTGAGTACCTAGTTTGATGGGAGGGAAAATGACTTCAATATAAGAATTTGAGTATAGCGCTATCTTCAAGTAAAGAAAACAGAAGAGATATGCATTCCTTCATCAGCTAATTTTATTTATGGGAAAATTTATAATTTTTGCACTTCACTAATATGGAATAGATAGCCATTTACAAATACTGAATAAAAATGTCTCTGGTTATGAGAAGAAACACGCACCTGACAAATTTGCAAAGGATTTCTAAACTGCTTAACAGAATAAAATCTTCCTAAGACTTCAATTAATCCAACATATGTACCACTGACAATATTTAATTTTATTATATGAACACCATGTTATGTAAACTTGTTTTCTCTAATAGATTGGATTCTTACACAAACATTAGTTGATATATGGTAGTCACCAAAAGAGATTAAAGCAGAAATTCACTTTACCTATGGCCCTTTAAAAATGATTAAATTAGACCCATTTAGAATTATGAATGACTTTGAATAGAGCATGGGCTTTTGAAATATTGGGTTAAAAATCATGGCTCTTCCATTTACTGACTGAAAGACTGTGAACAGGTAATAAAACCCTTATCCGTAATGAAGAATAATAACAGCCTTATCATATTAAGAATTAAATAAGATTACAGAATGAATGACACATTGTCTAGCCTATAGTAATGTGTCTAATGTACATTATATTATTATAATATTTTCTTTTTTAAATCTAGGTATTTTCCACATATCAAGTATTAGTTGTTATTCTTGGTCTATCTTTCCTATTCCTATCCCTACTTCACATAAAGCAGATAAAAATTTGAAACTATTTGCTACCCAGATTCTCCATCTCACTTCAATGTCCATAGTAAAAAATGGGAAATCTTTCTCCAAGGGTCTCCCTTGTATAGACACCTCATCCTCTTTTTCTCTCTTTCAAATGAGAATATGGTATTTGTCCTAGTCTATACTCCAACTCTGATAAATCCATTTCTATCCCTTCTACAGAGGATTCCAAGAAATCAATGAAAGCAAATTTGTACTATTATCTATATAACTTGAATATTAACTTTTCTACTCTACCTAGTTAGTTCAAGATTACATATGTATGTACACACACACATACACACGCACACACATACATATACGTACATACACTTTAATGACATTAACTTTCCCCAAGAACTTTAGAAGCATTATGTGCATATAAACAAGCTAATTTAAATGATTCTTATTTTTCTTTGGTCTTCCATATCTCTCTTATTTGTCCTTATGTCATTAATCATCTACTCCCTTATTTTTTTTTTATTTCTTTTCATTAAAAAAAAAAAAAATTAAGTAGGCTCCAACACCAGCATGGAGCCCAGCACAAGGCCTGAACTCACAACCCTGAGATCAAGACCTGAGCTGAAATCAAGAGTTGGATGCTTAACTGACTGAGCCACCCAGGCGCTTCTCAGCTAGTCACTTAAAAAAAAAAAAAAAAATCCTACACTTTAAAAAGGTCTGGCAAATCTTTTCTCGAAAAGGGACAGATAATATTTTCAGTTTTATAGGCCATAAGGTTTCCATCAAAACTGTTTGCCCCTGCAGTTGTACTTTGAAAGCAGCCACAGACCACATGTAACAAGTGGGCAAGACTGTATTCCAATAACACTTTTTAGAAAAATAATCAATAGACTATATTTGGCTCTAAAACTGTAGTTTGCCAACCCTTCTCCCAAATTCATATATTTCTCCTTCCTTCCTTTTCTTATAAGTAAAACCCTGGTCCACGCCCTCATCTCCTCATCCTTTCCCCTTACTTGAATTACCACAACACCTACTGCGTGGTCTCTCTGTCCCTGGTCTCTCCACCTCAGATTCACCCTGCCACCTCCCCTGAATTAATCTACCTCCAACAGAACTGTGAATCCCCCAGTTGCTCCCCCAGCTTCCTCGGCTTGGCATTCAAGATTAAAAACCTTTTCTGTTTTCTGGAATGAATGTCTATGCTTCCCATAGTACTGTTAACTCTACTATAAAATTGTAACATTTAAAATACAGAAATAATAAGTGATCCAATGTTAAATTGGTCAATGTTTCCAGCCTAATCTTCACCATACTACCCTCCAGTATTATCCTCAAAAATGATGGATAATAACATCTGTCATACCAAAACTAGAGACCAAAACAGGCCAAGTGACTTGCTCTTATAGTTGTCTGACAAAATTTAAATGCAAGAACCAAAGGCTTTAGACTCCAGATGCCATTTCCGCAAAGCACTGATCCTCTCTGAACCTTTCGTCACCCCCAGCATCATATGATTTAAAAAGACATAATTTTATGTTAGTCTTTAAAATATACTAAACATCATGCAATGCATTATGCTTGTCAGTAATACTGTTCTCTGCAATTTTACATACTGTACTTTATACTATAGTGAGCCACTAAAAAAAAAAAAAATAAAAAGGAGGAATTTCAGGCTTTGATTTGAGAACATTTTTATACATGACTGGTTTTACTGTCACAATCCATAGCTTTTCACAGATAGGGGATTTCATGTGACATCAGAAATCAACCAACCATACAATTGATGATGTCATTTGCATTCTAAAGGGCTATTGGTTAAAGCCTTAAAAGTTTCATTTCCTATGAATCCTTTGTTGCTTCAAAAAATTTCTCTATCATTTTTGCTATTTTCAATTGTCCCATGATTATCTGTTAATGTATGTGAAGTATAATTACATCAATTATCACCTGTCTTTTTAAAAAAGATAAGTTAAAACTATCAAAAAAGGTGTTCGAGCAAAAATTAACATACCTCAAAATAGGAAAAAATACATCAAGAATCCTGCCATTGACATTTTGGTAAAATTTCCATCCAATCTTACTAAAACTTTATGTTACTTTACATATTCATAAGGTCTTTTATCCCCAAAGTGCTACATTTTGTTCTCAGTTATTATAACAGACTACCCTTAAAGATAACCCTACACATGAAGTAACTCGTATACCAAAATTGGGTAGGTAATACAATAACCCTGAATTATTTTACATAATATGATTTTTTTTTCAAACCACAGATGTTACCAGAAGGGGAAAAATGCTCTTTAAAATTCTTCATCATGAATCTTTTTTTCCTGCAAATCCTTTTTTTTCCTCTCTCTCTCTCTACAAAGGCAATGTGAATAGGGGTAAAAGAAGACAAAACTTGACCTTTTGTGATCCCAGCATTAATGGGTCTGTTCATAATTCAATCTATGTGTGTGTGGGAGCATCCATGTGGAAACATAGAGGCCTGAGAGACATAAAGCCTTTCCCTTTAAACATTATCTGACCCTATCAGTCCCATTCACAAAAGAAGGCTTACGTATGCATATGTTGAAAAAATGCACCATCTCATTGTGCAGCAGAAAGCCTACACATTCTACTCTTCATTCTCCGTGGAAATGCAGCACGGAAGTGACACTTGTACAGAATTTGGGAGAGTGACAAATGAGCAGAAGGTAGCAAAAAAAAATAAGTATTCGATGAGGAAAAAGACCAAACTTCTGAAAGAATGCAAATGCACACCTGTCTATAAACATAGAGGATTTTTGCTTAAAAACACACATGGGGAGTTTAGTCATGTTTTTATAACACGTTAATGTAACCCTTGAATTTATTCAACTCTCAAGATGATTTAGATTTATCATAAAATATCATCTGTTTCTAATGATTCTAAAATTTATGCACATTGAAGTTGTATGTTCTGAATTACACATTCTGTATATTGTACTTTGGCTATTAGGAATGATGCTTTGAGGAGTTCCTGGTTTTTCCAATGATGAGCTCAGCTCTTCCTTGATTTCTATGTGGCCTTGAGTCTATCTATTATTAGTAAGGAGGACTCCAGAGAACTTTGCACTAAATTATTGCTTGAAATCAGCACAAAAGGCGACAGCCTCTATCCTGGGAATGTCATCTTGGCATGCAACACACAGGGAATGGTCTGTGCTTAAACTTAAGACCAAGAAACTTGCTAATTTATGACATAATTAAGAACCAGAAAAGGGTTAGGGAGATGAAAATGAGTATTTTAAGTTTCCTAAAATCTCTTCTTTCTTTCAGGCCCAAGGGTACAGCATTTTTTAGGTTGAAGAGAAATGTAACGCAGATTTGATGAACAAAGATTAGAAAAGATATGAGAACCTATGAGCAAAGTTAAGTATCTCTTGATTTAGAAAGATGGGCTGCAATGTAACTACCAGAGAACTTGAAGTGTGTACCACCTCTTACTCATACCACTTCAAATATTCCCAACTTTTTAATAGTTTCTAGAACCCTTCTAAGATGGAAGATATCTCTGAACTAGAGTTACCATGCTTCCAGCCAGAGGTCCATTATGTGTACCACCTTTAAGCCTATTCAAGAGTCTAACATTCATGGAGGAAGGGGTGATTAAAATAGAGAGTTTAAAAAAATTTTAATTCTGGTGTAGTTTATATACCGTGTTATATGAGTTTCAGTGTACAATAATATAGTGATTCAACAGTTCCATATACTACTCTGTGCTCATCAACATAAGTTACTCTTAATCCCCTTCACCTAAAATAGAAACATTTAAATGTCTTTATAATTCATCTGGCAATTGGGCTATGTGGATGGCAACAAAAATAATGTCAACTATACCTTTTGAGGAAGCAGTGAGAATGTGCTTCACAGTCTTCTAACCAACCACAGGAACCATAGGTCCCAGCTACTATCTCTCAAATCCATCACCAGGTTTGCATCAATGGCTGAGGATGCTGAGGTAGGTCTAACTCAGGGAGTCACAGGACTCCTCCGAAGGACAACTTTAGGTGAAGCATACACTACCAGCTTCACTAAACCTTCCTTAGACTGTACTGCTGTCTAAGAGGCCTCCCTCCAGTCTTCCTTTCCTCTCTCCTTCACTCATGTTCAAGCCTGCATTTCAGTCTAACAGGTCTCCTGACCTTACCCAGAGCTCTCTCCATTTTCTCTCATAGGCAGTTCTTCTAATAAAATACATACACATTTAATACTGTCTTGGTATTTACTTTCCAGAGAACCTAGAATAACTTTTAAACTAACAATAGCAAATTATATGCACATTTCTATAAAGCATTTCCCAAAAAGTAGTTTAACATATAACACACCTCAAAGTAGTCTTATGAAACATATATTATTATTATTCCCAGTTTTCATGTGGAAAAATTAAATGAAACAAAACAAGACCATGCCTATGATCTTAAGATAAAAACACAGCAGAATTCTGAATCTAAATCTCAGATTTTATGATGTTTAGTTTGGATTTTGAAATATATCTAGAAATACAATATTTTTGTAAAAAATAAACTCTAGGCTAAATAAATTTTGAAGTAATTCTCTCCCTCCCAGATTTTTCATTTCTCTTCACATTCATGATTTCACATTTCTGTATATGAATTAGGCCCAAAACTTGATGTCACTTACTTTTTCCAACCAAAATATTGAAAATTACACATCAAGATTAATATAATCACTTTCAAAGTAATGACAGAGAAATTATTCCCAAACTGTATAGAATATATTTAGAGATCACTACGCGCACGTGCGTGCACACACACACACACACACACACACACCACATATTCCCTTTATTGTGTACTTTATTTTTTAAGCAAACAAAAGGCATTTGAGTCATAACCAATCAAGCAAATACGTGACCAAATAAGGCACTGTATAAGAAAACACTAATGTATCTGGGTATTAAATAAACATTAAAATGATGATAAAGAATAAATACCAAATAAGCACAGCTACTTTTGGATAGTCTAGAAAAGATAATTTTCATTTCCAGTGTTGCTAACAAGGTGGCATTTAAAGTGATATATTTAGCATAATGATAATTTTTCTGGGCCACTTCAAGTTTTCAGTTCCTCTGAAATTACAGTTTTGCATAAAATATCAAAGAGCAAAATAATTACAATATTTAAAAGGCAAAAAATATCAAATATATTCATTCTTTTAGATTATTCTAGATTTACTCTCTAATAATAATTTGTTATTATAGGCATACCTTTAATGATACTAATTAAACTAGAGATAATTATTTGCCTTTCTTAAAGTTTACCATATCAAGATACATGATAGATTCAATTTAAATTCCTGTGAAAATGTAATAAAACTCTCCAACTGTGATAAAAACATTTTCCAAATGAGTAGAGGACAATATTTTTTAATTTATAGCTGTAAATCCTGTCTTTTAACTTGTTAATATTAAGTGGAATGAGTGAGAACTGTAACTTAAATTTATACAATCATTATTTGCTACATCTTAGAGCTTATTCAATTGAATTTTTCTTATGAAATATTCACTACTGAGATTACCAATCTATGGTTATAATATTGTCTTTAAAATTGGACATATATAAGTCCCAAAGATTAATATATAGTCTCTAATTTAAAGATTTGAATTTACTCAGGAAGATTTGAAGCATTATACCTGTTCATTTTCATATCATACAGTTAGCAGAACAGATGCAATCATAATGATAAGAAAATATTAGAGCCCCAAAGCTTCGATAGTTTTCCTTGCCAAAGTGTCAAAAGAGAATTACATGAAAGTTTAATTTTTAAATATTCACATTACCTTATTCTTTAAGTTGATTGTGATTTTATTTACTGACAATGGTACATGGGAATTAGCAAATTCATGATCTCCCTCAGAAAGAGTAAATGCTTTTGCATTCCAGGAACCTACATAAAAATCATTTTTTCCTTTTGTCTAACACCAATTTTGTATTATTATTTCATTTATGGAATATGCTGTCAACTTCACAGCATGAGCTTTGGAGAGAAGAAGCTTTGCTTTAATAGTTCATTACAATATTGCCTACAGAAGCTTATGATTAGCTTACTTAAGCTTGACATTTGTAAACTACAGTTTTTCTTTGATAAGAGATAACACTGATGGCATTTCTAATATTCATAACAATAATGTTACTTCTAGAAGTCAGAAAATAAAAATAAGATTCAGTACTTATTCAAAGTTCAATAAGATTTTAATGTTTTTCCTATGTTAGCATATTTTATAATTTCCAGATTCAACTTGCATGTAATAATTTCCTAATTTAGGAAATTTGTGAGAAAGTTTTCAGAAATATTTTTCAGAAAATTACAATATTTATTCTTTCAAGCATATAATGATTTTTCAATCTGCCTATATCAATAAAATGATTCCAGTTTTGACCAATTGTTTTCATTTTGTTGCTATCAGAGAACTATAGTTGGTTTACTATCAGACCCAAGTAAAATATGTTTTAATTTTTAAATTAGCACTCACTATAATTTTATAATACAGTTTAAAAAGTGAGTTTCTTTTTTTTTTTTTTTAAGATTTTATCTATTTATTTGACAGAGAGAGAGATTACAAGTAGGCAGAGAGGCAGGCAAAGAGAGGGGGAAGCAGGCTCCCTGTTGAGCAAAGAGCCTGATGCGGGACTCGATCCCAGAACCCTGAGATCATGACCTGAGCTTAAGGCAGAAGCTTAACCCACTGAGCCACCCAGACAGTCCTAAAAAGTAAGTTTCTTACTTCTTCTTGTGCCTTATGGTGTTCCTTTGCTGTCATTGAAAGAATTGCTTTTTCAGTAATTTTTTCTTTCTGTTCATCTACAGCCAGGTTCAACTAGAAAAAAATAAATTGCATGAAAACAGGCACCTACTAATGCCTTACTACAACATTTCTTCAAACAACCAATTTAGCATACTCATGGAAGGTAATTTAAAATTAATTTGTCCCACATTTATATGAGAATGAACTCCATTTAGATAAAGTTGAAAATACATTTTTATATTTAAAATATTTAACACTGAATCATTCACATTCACTTTTATCATTTATAAGTTTATTAAAATGTGATTTGGGAGAGGATCCTTAATTGCAGACATTTGACACCAACAATTACTTTTTTAAAAGTAATTTTATTAAAATGAGCATAGCAATTTTTTTAAATTGGGCTGATATTTCCTATTAAAATTTTTCATTGCCAGTAGGGAATAAATTGGCTGCTGTTACATCAGGATAAAAATTCAAGAACATTAACCAAAAGCAAATGTCAATTTAAACACTCTAGAACAGTTCAAAATGATTTATATTTCAAGACAAGAAATAATGCATCTTAAATACCTGAACAGTTACCTGCAACCTGATCCATTAAAGGTCTTCCACTACTTCCACTACTGTTGCTAACCCATATGTTATAAATAGGTGAATGTCATCCATTCTGTGGGTTTGTTTTTTTTTAATAATCCCCATCGAAACAAAATGCTATTTTCAGTGAAGGAAAAAGCTGAATTCACACAATAACATTCACTCAGCAAACTGGTATTAACAGAAAAAAAGAAAATAACAGCCTAATACAAAACTTTTTGAATTGGAATATTGAACAATTCTTAAGCAATGGACTGGCAATATTGTATCTCCCTATTGAGGATAAAGAATAAATAATGGTCACATTTTTTGTTTTGTTTTGTTTGTTTTGTTAATGTTGTTGTTGCTTTATATATATGTGTGTGTGTGTGTGTGTGTGTGTGTGTGTGTGTGTGTGTGTTTTAGGATTTGTTTATTCTAGAGACTGCATGAGTGGGACGGGGAGAGGGAAAAGGAGAGAGAACCTCAAGCAGACTCTGCACTGACTGCAGAGCCCGACACAGGGCTCAATCCCAGGACCCTGAGATTATGACCTGAGCCAAAACCAAGAGTGGGACACCCAACCGACTGTCACCCAGCTACCCCTGTTGTTGTTTTAAATCATGTTTCTTCATTGTATGCCTGCCAAATCATGTTTGAGTTAACATGAATCTTTAATTCCTATTCTGCCTGAAGACCCATTCTTATACTTGAGATAAAGTGAGGGTGGGAGTGAATAATATGGTTTCTTCAATCTAGTTATGTATATGTGCTATAAGAATAGTATCAAACCTGCAAACTCTTCATCCACTGATATGTTATACAGCACAGCATATCAGAGATTCTGTCTTGGTAGAGGGAAAAGGCTAGGTGATTCTGATGATCACCCTGCATAAGGAGTTGACAGACATTTCTGTAAAGGGCCGGAGAGTAAAAATTTGAGGCTTGGTGCAGGAGGGCATACAGTCTCTGTTGCTCAGACTAAGCTCCAGCCTTGCAGCATGAAATAGACAATACATAGTGAATGAGCATAGCTATGCCTCAGAAAAACTTAAAAAACAAACAAATAAGTAGCAGGCTGCTTTTGAACAGCAGGCAACATTTGACTATCCCTGTCCTGGATTGAGAACCACAAAAAACAGGTTTGCTAAAAAATAATCAACACATAATGTATAACATGATGACTATAGTTAACAATGCTGAATGGTATATTTGAAAGTTGTTAAAAGAGTAGATCCTAAGTTCTCATCACAAGGAAAAATACATTGTTTTTCCTTTTTTATATACCTATATATGAGATGATGGATGTTAACTAAACTTCTTGTGGTAATCATTTTGCAATATATGTGAAAGTTGAATCATTATGCTTAAACACCTTAAACTTACACAGTGCTGTATGTCAATTACATCTCAATTAAACTGGAAAGAAATCATCATGTGAAACTATTCTTAGGATTACTCTCCCTGAAGAATATTTTTTCATATGCTGAAGTAATACAAAAAGCACAATATTATAAAAAGTTAAATATCTACCTCAGGGAAGCCTGTGTGTGAGTGTGGTGCAACATAGTTATGTCAAGTCTCTACGGCTATTTCTTTATGTGGGGATTCTCATCTGAGGAGGAGATCGGTGTGAAGGGGAGGAGCCAGGAAATATTCACCAAACTCATCCATTCCTTAAAAAATTAATTTCCAAATGCACAAACATTTTGAGCAGATCTTTTTCAAGGAATGCAAACAAAACAAAAACAGAATACTAAATTCTTTGGTGCCACAGCAGTAAGTCAGATTCTAGTGAGGTCTCCCAGGGCTATGACATTTAGAACTGCTTCCAAGTAACTTTTCAAAAGGTGGGAATTCTTTACCTTTGAAACCACCACAGTTGGGAAAATCACCACCATTCTAATATTCAACTCCTAAAGAAGCACTATACTAGTCTACATAAGCTAAGATCAAAACACGTCAACATTATCGGAAAACATCATATGCATACCAAATATAGAATCCAGTAAGATATTAAGAAATAAATGCTTAACAAAATAGAATGATACAGACCTGGGCCTTTTCTTGAAACATATCAACCATTCCAAAAGAGAGATTTTTATTGAAAATTATTTTTATTTTTTTGTAGAGAGATTTTTATTGAAAATTATTGAAAGTAAAAAGTCAAATTAAGAGAGTGCATTTTCGGGGCACCTGGGTGGCTCAGTGGGTTAAAGCTTCTGCCTTTGGCTCAGGTCATGATCTCAGGGTTCTGGGATCGAGCCCCACATCAGGCTCTCTGCTCGGCAGGGAGCCTGCTTCTCCCCTTCTCTCTCTGCCTACATGTGATCTCTATCAAATAAATAAATAAAATCTTAAAAAATACATTTAAAAAAAAAAGAGAGAGTGTATTTTCACTTGAGGTATTAATAATATGCAGTGCTAACATCATCTTTCCCTCAAGTCCCATGTCATGATAACAACTGTAGGAGTCTTCTCTCCTGTCACTTTGGAGGAAAAGATACCGTTTCTTCATTATGACAAAACTATGTGCTTTTGATTTGCTGTTCTTATCTGAAATGTATGAAATAATTTTTGTCAATGGGTTCAAAATTTCTGAGGCTAATTTTTCATGTATAAAGGGGGCAGAAACTTCAAGTTAAAAGTAAAATCAAGGGTATTGTCCTATTTAAAATAAGTCAGAGAAACAGAAATACCATATGATGTCCTTATATGTGTAATCTTTAAAACAAAACAAAACAAAACAAAATACCAAACTCATAGATAGAAAAAATTGGTGATTGCCAGGGGTGGATGTGGGAGGTAGAGGAAACAGGTAAAGAGGGTCAAAAGGTACAAATTTCCAGCTATAAAATAAATAAGTCATGGGATATAAAGTATAACATAGTAACTATAGTTAATAATACTGTGTAGCATATGTGAAAACTGTTGAGAGTAAGTCTTAAAACTTCTCATTACACACAAAAAAATTGTAACTATGTATGGTGACAGATGTTAAACTTAATGTGGTAATCATTTTACAATATATACTAATATCAAATCATTATGTCATACACCTGAAATGAACATAATGTTATATGCCAATTATAACTCAATAAAAAATAAACAGAGATGGCTAAAATTTGTATAAACTATGAAAAGCCAAATATCTACCAGAGGAGTGTCACTTTGTTCTAACTATATCTCACTCTTTTTAAATGTAAGAAAACACCCATAAATATTCATTTTACACATCAAAATCTAAAGCTAAATAGGAAGCTTTAATTTATCATTTTTGTCAGGCCTTGTTGCTAATATTTTAAAAATAGTAATAAATATTAGGTATCAGAGTTCAGTTTGAAGTTGCTCTCACTCAGTATTAATGGTAACCAGAGTAGAACCATCAAGAGATGAGTGCAGGACAATGGCAGAAATGGAGAAAACAAGAAACATAATGGTTCTGTCAAAGAAAACTAAATAAGAAGTACTCCCAAAAAATGGCCTGTTTAGAGAAACACGATTAAAAAGGAATATATTCACCTCAAATTATCTGTTTAGGAATTAAGAAAAAGTCCACCAAAGTATACCTGAAGCCACAGGTTTCAATGAAATTATTTCTAATGATCATTAACTTTCAGACTATGTGTATTTTACATAAAACTTCTAATGCTAAGGTAGCGGGCATTACACTTTCTCTGAAGCCCTAAAGGGTCATGGTTTAGTAATATGTTGTTCTGTATAACATATACAGCCTGTTGTGACTGTAAGAGAAAGTGCTCTTCATTGAGGAGTTCTTCAAACATTTGCTGGCTCAGAAAGCTCAACTATGGACATCCTAGAGAGGACAACAGGCTTAAGATCGCCTGCTGGAGAAGAGTAGTGATCTCCTTTTGTGTGTGTCAGTAACAGTACATGGCTTTTCCGTCTTTTTTTTCTTAACTTCCTCCCAAATATTTTAAAGGATATTTATAAAAATCATAAAGATTGATTATGTACAAATTTTAACATGACAGTAAGATAAAATAAGATCTATTTTATAGGAGAACACAACTCAAACTCTAGAGCTCAATTATTAATATATTTTTTAAAAGGTACAGTGATCAAACAAGATGGTATGTTCTGTCTACTTAATTCATATTGATATTCCAGATAGGTACTAACCAAAGAGTCCAACCATACTCTCAGTGCTCTGAATTATAGTTCTGCATGCACTTTTCTCTGTGTTCCAAACAGCTAGTGATTCAATGTGAAGTATTTCATATGTGTTGTATATAATGTCCTTAATAAATCAATGTAACCCAACAAGAAAACTGAATCTCTTTCTATCAAAAATCTAACTTGTGATCAGTAAATTGATTTAATAATAAATTATTTTATCCATATTTTATATGCAGATCAATATAGGCAGTACAGGTTAGCATAAACAACAGGACAATCAGCCTTCATATATATTGACAAGTTTCCCAATGGTCTGTTAATATACAAAAGACTGGGACAAATTAGTTATT